AAGGAGTCTCCAGGCAGTTAGTGTTAGTATTCAGGCATCTGTACTGGCCTGCCCTTAGGGATTCTGACAGCCTACCTAAATCCTAAACCTAAGGATTTAGCTGCTGCCACTAAGTGTACCTCTGATGTGGGAATCCCCTCTGTGTGCTTTGAATATGTTTTGTTATCATTGGTTAATAAAGAAACTGCTTGGGCCTATGGCAGCACAGAATAGAGCAAGGAGGGAATTCCAAGCAGAGATAAAGGGGAAAAGAAAGCAGAATCAGAGAGACACCATGTAGCTGCTAAAAGAGAAAGATGCCTGCCCTAAAAACCTTACCTGTAAACCATGAGCCTTGTGGTAAAATATAAAATAATAGGAATGGGGTACTTTAAGATGTAAGAGTTAGTTAATAAGAAGCCTGAGCTGATAGGCTGAGCAGTATTTTAATTAATATAGTTTCTGTGTGATTATTTTGGGCCTGGGTGCCGGGAAACAAATGAGCAGTCTCTACGTACGCACCTCCTGTGCACATTGCCACTTTGGGCCTTTCTCATCTCCCATCTTTCTCTCTCTGTCTCTTTCTTGCTCCTGTTTTTTTTTTAAATTACAACATTGGTTCCCTGACCAGGAAAGGCTCTCCTGGCACTTCCTCCTTCCCACCAGCCATCTGAGGTGCATTGCAACACAGAAACCTGGTCCACATATGACAGCTTCGTTTCTCTGGATTACTGGGTCCCTCCATTCAACACTGGCATGGTTGGTGAGCCCCTCTGCCTTCCCCACCTTTGGCTATTTCCCACGAGTGAAGACTAGTCTCTCCAGCATGGTGTCTTACCTTTTGGCCTCATTAAGCCTCATGACCAGGCAACCATGGCTCTCTTGGGATCAGAGAACTTGGCCCCTGCCCTTTGCCGGATGACTCGCGGGAGGCCCCTGCCTGTCTTATTTCTCGGACCCTCAAGTCCTTCGGGCTTGACTTGATTGACAAATCATCAAGCTGCTTGTGTCTTTCTCATTCTATCCCTGCGTGATAAAAGCCATTGGATCTTGTTCTGCCTCACTCGTGGGGAATAAGCCTACCAAAAATCTGCTTCCTGGCACTTTATATCCTGATGTTTTATGGAGCCTTTGCAGCATTCTGCCAGAGATCTTGATAGATGGGATGAGGTGTCCCCCTTTCACTCTCCCACTTTCTCCTCCCCCAGTAAACCTCTTACACTAACTCTGTTGCCGGTGGCATGTTTGCTTAGAGGCAGAGCCCACTGAAAGGTAATCACTTCATGCCGGGCCTCTATCCACCTGCTCCACCCTCAGCAGAGCCCTCTTCCACCTGCAGCAAATCTGCCTTCTCGTTCACTAGCGACTTTGCCTTTTATTCTGTATTGGCAACTGGGTTTCTGGTAGGGTTACCTGCCTCAGACCATTGCCCTGGATGTGAGGCTTCATTTCTTCAGCCCAGTCCTCTCTTTGCCTTCTGTCTTTTCTTGAAGTCCTGGTACCAGGTGACTGTGTCTCTCTTGTGCTCAGATCCCTTGGCCCCTGCTCTGTGTTTGAATCACTGAATAGCCTGTGCCGTCTCTTCTCTGCCTCACTCATGGGGACTGTGTCATTGTTTATACCTCCTTGGTCCCATTAGGATGTTGTTTTGGATCCACTGACCATTCCTAACCACCGATTGTGTTGTGGGACTACCATCTGTTGGCAGATCTGGAGGCACAAGATTAACAAACATGTCCAGGGGATGCTGTGGTGATGGGAAAGGATCAGGAGCTTTAAGCCCTAGGGAGTCAACTTGGATCCACCTTGAACAGCATTTTGCCAGATCCAGGTACTGCCTGACAGTTCCACAGAGCCTGGACAGTGAAGTGAAACAGCCAGAGACCACAGGACTTGGCCAGCATCCCAACTTTCTCAGGTTCCCCCAAAGATTGCGACACCACTAGGTCAGCATAAAGCATGGCATCCTCATCCCCACCTCACCTGGTACAATTTCTAACTCCTCAACTTCTTAAAAAAAAAAAAAAACAAAAGGAGAAATTTTAGCATCCAGGCATCTGTTACTTGCTTGCCCTTGGGGCCTTAAGAGGACACGTCCTCAGCTGCAGCCACTAAGAGCACCTCCTGTGTACATTCACTACTTTCCCTTAAAAAGGTGGGCCTTGCTCACCTCCTCATCTCTCTTTCTGTCTCTGTCTCTCTTTCCCCTGGCATTTTAAAAATTTACAGCAGTTAGTGATTCTGTGAGTGGCCTCTGATTTTGATGCCCAGTGTAGTCAGGGTTATATTAGAAGAGCCACTAAAATTGTCCCATCAGTGGCCTGGCGTTTAAGCACACAGTCTTGGAAGGAAGCTTAAGAAAGTAATTTGGATAATGGAAAGAGCAGGAAGAATTATTCTCTGCTTCCTGGGGAGAGGCCATGAGAGCTATTCCCTCTGAAAACAAAGCTCATGGTGATGGTTGTGGAGAGCAGAGGACAACTTGGTGTAGTTGATGCTCTCCTACTCTGTGGGTTCCATGAGTATCATGTCAGCAGCAAAATTAGAAGCCAAGAATCTCCATTCTAAAGGACATACTATTTCAAGTGCCTTGGTACATTAAAGCAGAGCTTACCAGCCCATGACCTGCAGACTGCATGTGTACCATTCTGGAGTACTTAGTGAAAACATGAGATTCACTTGCAATTTTTATTTATTTATTTAGTCTTTTTTTTTTTTGAGACAGGGTTTCTCTATAGCTTTGGAGCTTGTCCTGGAACTAGTTCTTGTAGACCAGGTTGGACTTGAACTCACAGAGATCTGTCTGTCTCTCCTCCCGGGTGCTGGGATTAAAGGTGTGCACCACCACTGCCTGGTCGCAATTTTTATTTATTTTGGTAACTAAATTGTACAGTGTTCAAACATGATCTCTGTATGGGATACTATAGTGTCATAGTGTGTCTGAAGCATTTCTGTGTTTCTCTGGCTAATATTCACAGTGAGGTTCTGTGTCCTGGACACAGGGGAACTTAGTATTTGATGATTTTCCTAGTTGTCTCCAGAACTTCCATACATTAACTTTTACTGCTGGGTTGCTGATGTCATTTCTTATTATCAGAATTACTTTGAAATAGCTTTAGCATTTCCATTTTAATGTCCTGATTTAGCACAAAGGATATAGGAAGACCTGAATTTTAGCCCCACACTTGCCCCTAATTAATTATATATCCTTTAGAAATCTTAAACTTGTTGACCTTATTTTACTGTCATGAAGTAGCCCTGAAGTGTCCTGTCCTTACACTAAACAAATGGAGACGTCATGGTCCTCCCCTTGTCTTCCCTGTTGACTGTATGTGATCCTGAAGTCTGGGAAACACATTTTCTGTTCTGCATTGCAGACACAAGACACCTTCTCATTGTGACCTCCATACCTCCAGTCATGCAAATTATGTCTCCATCTTTCTTAAAATATGGATGATGAAAACTGCACCTAGGACTGTAGGTTGGGGCAGCTGTGCTATGGTCTTATATAAATGGAAGATCATTTCTATTTCACTGCAGCTATTTTTTCAAAATGCCAGTATTCCTAGGACTTAGTGGCTATAATATTTCAAAATGTCTTTGAAGCCAACCCTTTGCCTCTGGAAGAGACTGTTCCAGGCTCTTTACTATTCAATATCTTCTGGGACAGAGATTTCACAACCTGTCTCTCACCTTGAGGAAGTTCTTATAACTAATATAAATCTTGCTTTCTGCAATTTCAGTTGAATTTGTATCGTTTTTCTTTTCTCTGTAGAGATGTGAACAGCCCTAAACTGGAGGTTATACATTCTCATGAGGGCCGGTACCAAACACTGTAGAAAAATTGTTTCAGCATCTGTGTCTCTGATTGTCATTCTTATATTCAATTCATGTCTCAGAAGGTGGTGTTTTAAAAGTGCAAATTAAACAATAGTTTCTACCTAATATCAGTGCTTATGAAATCATTTAATCTTTGAAATAAAATGGGGCATGAAAATCCAAAAGTGAGTTCTTGTGGGGAAGAAGGGGGAAGTGTTGGTCTCTGATCCTGTTTGTAAGAAATCTCTTGGCCAAGCAGTGGTGGCGCATGCCTTTAATCCCAGACCTTGGTAGGCAGAGGCAGGAAGATTTCTGTGCTAGCTTGGTGTACAAAATGAGTTCCAGAAAAGCCAGGGCTGTTTGCAGAGAAACGTTGTCTCGAAAAAACAAAAAACAGAGAGAATATATATGTATGTGTATATACACATACACACACATATATATAGAGAGAGAGGGGGAGGGAAGAAGGGAAGGAGAGAGAGAGAGAGAGAGAGAGAGAGAGAGAGAGAGAGAGAGAGAGAGAGAGAGAATCTTTTGGCTGAATGCCTAGAGGAGGCTGGGATCGATCTCACTCTGTTGGCCTCAGAACCTGCCAGTGCAAACACTGCTATCCACCTGCTGCAGTCTCTGAAAATTAGACTCCCCACAGAGTAAATAAGTAAAATTAGAAGACTGAATTCTCTAAATACATTTGGAATATTTAACCAAACTTATGTCTTATTTCATATAGCTATAGTCACAAGACTGGGTTTGAGCTCTAGATTTTATCCCATCTTTTAGTGATCATAGTAAGTGATTGATTCATTATAAGTCATGAGACAGGGCTGGGTAGATAGCTCAGCCATTAAAGGCTAGGCTGACAAGCCTGTTCCTTGGAGCTAGCTGTCCAGAAGTGGATTCCAATGTGTACGGTCAGACGGTCTCAGTACTCATCTGTGAGTTCTGCTGAATATAGTGAGGAAAAATAAACGAGCCGAGCCGTGCCCACAAGGAGCCCGCGGTCCTGCTGGGGAAGGACACTGTAAACTTGCTGCTATGAGTCACCTTTAACAGTGCGTACAGGAAGGCTTTGAATGGAAATTTAATTTTCCTTCTTAAAGATATTACAGAAAATGTTACATTTGCAGACCTGTTCAGTTAACTGAGCCCCTAAAATTTGTATTCATTTGCTTTATTCTGATTTTTGTATTTTCCTTTTGAAGGTTCAGCAATTTTCTGAAAAATCATTCCTCTTAGAGCTTTTGAAAACCCATGAAAATGCGTTAGAGAGACAGCACAGTGAAATTATAAACCAAAGGGATACGCTGCTCCAAGCCTTCGTAAGTCTCTAGCCATCTAGAAACATCGAAGTCAATAACTGTGTCAAAGGCATCTAAGTATGTACATCTTTCCTTTGAGAAAATTATCTGTATGCATATCAGCTGACAGTACTGTTCAAATAAAAATATCAAGAGCTGTTTGAAATTGACTTGGAGAGTAGCACAGTTTGAAAGAGTTGTGCTGGCAAAGATATAATTCAGGAATTATTTAGAGTTGTAATGAGCCTAAAAGAAAGAATACCACCGCTCTGAATTACTCTGGTGTTGAGGCCCAGTTTTAATGATCTTGAAAAACAGAGAGGTTTATACTTTAAGGCATATTTATGGGTGTGGGTGAAAAATAGTTTATCTTTTTATCTTATGTCAAAGCCAACATGTTGAGCAGTAGTTATGAGTATAGGCCAGTTTGGAGATGTGTGTAGTCATAAGATGACCTTTCAGAGAAATATAATTGGGCCAGCAAGAGGGCTCACTGGGTAAAGGGGCTTTCCACCAAGTCTGATGACCCTTTAATCCCTGTAACCAGCATGGTAGAAGGAGAAACCTGACCCCTGCAAGTTGTGCTCTGCCCTCCACATGTGTGCCACAGAATATGCATGTCCATACTCATACGCATACATATGTACACACAATGAATAGATAAGTGGAAACTTACATAAGATATATGTAAGAACAAAAATACAGTTCATGACATGACCAGCTTCTAAAAGTTATTCCACACAGCTGGTGCTTCAGCCAAAAAATAAAAATACAAAAGACTAATGTTTCTAATGCTGTTAGGAAATTAGATTTTTGCACTGTCCAAAGCATTAAATTCATATTTTATGCCCTGTGGATGTTTGATTTACAACATAAAAGCTTATTTTGAACTAACTTTGAGATTATTGCATAATTTGCCTTCAGATAATCAGTTTTTTGTTTTCCTATAAAGCAGCACTGTTCATTTGAGTAAAGGTTGTAATTTTCACATTTCACTATTACTCCTCAACCTGATTGAACATTATATTGACAAAGTAGCATGTATGATTGTAAAGTAAATTCACAGACACAAGCATAATGATAAATGTCAGCATTTCTACTTCACTAGTTCTCCCAAATCTGTAAGAATAAAACTTCCACATGGAAGATATTGTATGACAACCCCCGTCTTTAAACACGTGTTCTTAGTCATCACAGCCTGTTTTTGGTGATGCAGAAAACAGAGCTGATGATGATACTTTGGCTAATAACTCTAAATTGTTGTATTTTAAATCACTGAAGGATAGTGCAACCAGTGTGTACATTTGGTAACTTATTTCTGCTTTTCAGGAGGCCACAAAGAAAAAAGCAGCAGAGGAAGAGGAAAAATTTATTAAGGAAATTACAGACTTCAATGATGAGTATGAAATAACTAAGAAAAAAGATATCTTGATGAAAGAAAATATCAAGATGGAAATTGCTGACTTGGAAAAGCAGGCAAATGTTTTGAGAGGAGGTATGGATACAGGCACCTCCCTAGTCTGTTGTTAATGAATGTGCGGTGTTGTTTGCTTGTTCCCTGGTCTGTGTGTGAGACAAGGTCTCACAATACAGCACAAACTGGCTTAGAACTTAATGTGTAGCCCAGGCTGACCTCAGACTCGGTGTGATCCTGTCTCAGTTCTCCAAGTGCTGAGCTTTACAAGTGTGCACCACCATGTCCATTTACAATGAGTCATTTTGCATGAATGTGTTTTTCAGAAGGTAAGCTCTGTATTAAGGTAAATTCCATCATTGCATAGTTAACTCATTTAATTAGTGAATGTATACGGCCATGTCAATATATATTTCAAATCCTCAGGAGTCCATTGTGAACTGAATATTTGATCATCTGTCTGAGGGAATGTCTCTAGGTCCCAGGGTATATAATTTAAAGGTGTAAGAAATAAGTGTACATGCCATGTGATGAGTTAGAACTGCTGCTGTGAATCACATTTTCTCATCAACCCTGGATGAAGTAGGAAGTAAGGGTACAGAGGGTCATCCCAGGAATATCTGTATGCATGTTGTTGGAGTCTGTGGTAAGATAATGAATTAAAGCAGTTGTCAGTGGGGAGTGAAGGGCTGTTTAGGAAAATAACAGGACTTTAATACACATAGAAACAGGGAATGTCGAAAACACACCTGTCCCAGGCTTCATGAAGTTTGGTTTCTCTTACTTTGAATCAAGCACAATTAGTTGAGGCTCCTTGATTGCCACTCACCTTGAGTATACTTCCTCTTAATCTGAAAGCCTCACAGTAAAGCAAATAATAATTATTTACAAATAATAATTTCTCAAATGGTCAGTGCGTTGTGATGAGATCAGAAAGAGAAAAGTCATGGATGCCATTGCCCCACTGTACTTCTGAAGTACAGCAACAGAGATGCTGGGTACCCCCTGGTTAGAAACTTTAGGAAAGTGAAGACAGACTATGGGGTTGGAGAGAACATTTGTGATGTATGTACATGGGTTGTTACTCAGAAAATAATGAACTCTTACAACTTCAAAGTGGAATGACGACAAGACTAGTGGATAGCAAGGGAAGAATTGAACTTTACAGTATAGTACTGATGGCCAGTGGATACATAGGAAAGGTACTCAATATTTTTAGTCATGAGGAAGATACAAACTACAATATAGTAAGCTGTCATTGTGCATTCATTTAGTCAAAATTAACAGATTGACCAAGTCAGTTGACAAAAATGAAGAACATTTGAAACCCGTGTGGTTATAATAAAATAGAAAATAAATGTTAAAATTGCTTTAAAGAATTGCTTGGCAATTTCTGAAAAGTTAAATATACATTTATCATACAATTCACCACAACTAGATGCTTCAGAAAAATTAACTCTGTCTGAAACACATGTTTTGGAAGTTTAACTCCTAGCTGAAGACTGCACATGATTTAAATATCAACTAGGAGGTGATGTATCTGTGTAACAGAATAGTCAACAATAATGAAATGGTGAAACTTCAGTAGACAACGATGGAGGGATCTCAGGAAACCTGAGCTGTATATACTCCTCACCGTGAACCTAGAGGAAATGGATAACAGGAGTCACAAGGGATCTCTGGTGTTGATGGAAATGTGTGTTCTTATTTCTGGGGATGGTCTTCACAGGGTTAATGACCGTCAAATTTATGGAGTTGTGTGGTACTCTCTTTAAAATTGAAAACGAAAAAATGTTTCTGATACCACAAATCCTATCAGAATCCTTTACATTGTGTCTTCTCTCAGAAATACAGACATGATAGGGGTGCCTCTATGGTACCTGATACTCTTGCTTCTGCTCTCAATGTCTACAATATAATGGGGAGGGGTAGTAGAAACTGCCTTTTCTATATGTCTTTGCTCCTCTATAGTCAACTTAAATTTTCTCTGACACAGAATATGAACTAGCTCTTCATAATCGCTTGTGCTCTTTTCCTGTTCATTTTTCATTTTAAAAGTTATAGTTACACTTTACTTAATGTCTGTATGTGAAGTGTGTATGCAAATGGGCATGTGTAGAGCAGGGCATGTAGGGAGGTCAAAGGACAATGTGCAGGAACTGGTTTTTGTGCACTGTGTTCTCCCCAGATCAAAGTCAGGAGCCTTTCCCTGCCATGACTTCCTGCTGGCCTTCCTGCTTCACTTTTACTATTTGTAGTTCTCATCTATCTAGGATTTATTTTGCTGCAAGAAGTTAGGAATTCAACTTTAGCTTTTCCAAATGGCTGGTTATCTGTGTAATGCTATTTGTTACATGGTGCATCTGTTTCCAGACATTTTCAATGTCTGCATTTGTTATATTTTAATTTTACATATATGTTTGTGTAGGTCTTTTTTCCTATTTTGTTTTCTGTTTATTTTAGTTTCTTTTTTATTAGATGTTTTAAAAAAATACCAATCCAAATTCCCACTCCCTCCCCTCCTCACATTACCTCCATACATTCCCCCCCCCCAATACTAAGAGAGGGTAAGGCACTTTGCTTTGTGGAAAGTCCAAGGCCCGCCCTACTACTTGTAGGCTGAACAAGGTATCCATCCAAAGAGAATAGGATCCCAAAAGGCTAATACATGCAGGAGAGATAAAGGATTTGATAGCTAGTGGAAAATCCTCTCTTCTTTCTGTTCATGCTGATTATTATGTATATGTTTTCTTAGGTAAAAGTTAAGTTTTGTAGAGTTCAAATGTTATCTTGTATTTTAATTTGAGATGCATTAAGTTTATTAATGAATTTAGGAAGAACTTCTATCTTTCCAATCTCTTGTCTTCCTGTCAGAAAACTAAACATGGGGCAGCACATGGCTCAGCAGCTCAAGGTACTTATTGCCAGATCTGAGGTCCTGACTTTGATCTGTAGGACCTACGTAGTAGAAGTAAAGAACCAACTCCTACAAGTTGTCTTCTGACAACCAAGTGCATGATTTGTGCGTGTACCTGCATGTGTGCACATGTGTGTGTGTGTGCAAGAATGTAAAAATCATTTCAGTTATCTTGACTTTCATTGTTACTCTTTCTCTAAGTATCACTGTATTTTAAGTGGGGTTTCCCCATTGGGTATTCTCATGATTATGGTTTGTCTACAGGTAAAGAACCTTCTACATTCAGATTTCCTAACACAAACTTGATTTTGCTGTTTCTAGTGAACCGTGTCTGCATCACCTAATGATAACTGTCTTGGTTTTCCAATATTCATTCTGTCTTTAAAATGTAGTTTTATTTGTGGGTGCTTTTAGAATGCTAATAAATACTGGAAACAGTATTAGATGATGCCCCTTCTCTCTTTTAGGGCTTTGTTACTGATTATGATGCCACAAAGACAATGTGTGCTCTCCCTTTGCTTCCATGCCCCTGCTTTCGTTCACCTTCCCTTTCTTTAATGACTATGTATTTCCTCTCTGAATTCTTTCATTCATTTATATAACCTGATCACAGTTTTCCCTTCCTACTCTACTCCCAGTTTCTCCCCACACATCCCCTCTGCAGCTTCCTTCATCCACTCCTTCTCCCTTTCTACTCAGAAAAGGGCAGGTCTCCCATGGATATCAACAAAACATGGCATATCAAATTGCAGTTAGGCTAAGCTAAACACTTCCTATTAAGGCTGGTCAGGGGAACCTAGTATGAGAAATAGGGTTCCAGAAGCCAGCAAAAGAGTCAAGGTATCTGGGCAGTGGTGATGCACACCTTTAATCCCAGCACTCTGGAGGCAGAGGCAGGCGGATCTCTGTGAGTTTGAGGCCAGCCTGGTCTACAAGAACTAGTTCCAGGACAGGCACCAAAAGCTACAGAGAAATCCTGTCTCAGACAAAAAACGTCAGAGGTAGTCTCTGTTCCCACTGTTAGGAGTTTCATAAGATCAAGCCACACAACTGTTAAATATATGCAGAGAACCTAGGTCAGTCCCCTACAGGCTCCCTGATTGTCAGTTCAGTCTCTGTGAGCCCCTATGGTCCCTTGTTAGTTGATTTTTGTAGATTTTCTTATCTTATGATGTCCTTGACCCCTCTGTCTCCTACAATTCTTTCCCCCCTACTGCAGGATTCCCTGAGCTCCACCTAATGTTTGGTTGTGAGTGTCTGCATCTCTTTCCATCAGTGGCTAGATAAAGCCTCTCTGATGACAATTAGGCTAGGCACCAATCTATGAGTATAGCAGAGTATCATGAGGCATCATTACATTGACTTTTTTTTGTGTCATTCATGCTTGGTCTCTGAGCCATCCTGCCTCTGGGTGCTCCAGACAGTGTCAGGGTTGGGCTCACTCTCATGGCTTGGGTCTCAAGCTGGATTATTCATTAGTTGGTCATTACCACAGTCTCTGCCACTCTTACCCCAGCATGTCCCATAGGCAGGACAGTGTAGGTTGAAGGTTATGTGGCTGGGTTGGTATCCCACCCCTCCATGGAAAATCTTGCCTTGATGTGGGATGTCCTTCTTTATATGTTCTGTTTTTATTAGTTGATGAGTAAAGCTGTTTTGGCCAATGGATTAGCAACATAAAACAAGGTGGAAAATCATAACAGAGATATGTAGAGAAAGTAGGTAGAGTTGAGGAGATGCCATGGGGCTGCTGAAGGAGAAAGGTGCCAGAACATGACCGGTAAGACACAGCCTTGTGGCAATACATAGATTAATAGAAATGAGTTAATTTAAGATGCAGGAACTATCTAGGAATATGCCTGAGTCATTGGTCAAACTGTTCTAAATTAATACAGTTTCTGATGTGAATTCTTGGGTCTGGACAGATGGGAAACAAAAGCAGAACCACTGTATACATTGCCTGGTCACAGGTGATGGCCAACGCAGGCTACATACACTATATTGCTGGGAGTCTTAGTTGAGCTCATCCTTGTAGGTTCCTGGGAGTTTCTCTAGTTCTAAGTTTCTACCTCAAACCAAAAGGCCCCCTTTCTAGTCTTCTCTTAACAAAGTACTCTCACTCCCCACTCCACACATGATCTTTTATGTTCCCATCCCCACCTTT